TCTCCGCGCTGGCTGTTGTCGCGCTGTGATGACGTCACGTACGCGCTTTCGTCAAGCGCGCTTTAGTCTACCGCGGTTTTGTGGTGGAGCCGAAAAAATAACTTTACAATTATACATTTTATTTTAAAAATGAACAGCTGCATTCATTTTTCAAACAACCAAACCACAGACTGATAAGCCATTAAGTTGCAGGACGTAACAGTACAGCTAACTATGGCCCCTCTAAATGATAATAGTAGCTGGAGAATATTCCGCACAAATTACCACATCTCTAGTTGTGTTCCTCTTGTGTTTAGTTATTTTAGAACTTTCTGAGTCATGTTTTTTAAAGTGTTTGAACCTCTGAATGCATCTTTTAAGCCTCAGGAAACTTTATGATTTGCCCTCTATACATATAAGCAACATTTCTTGAAAAGATAAATGATACTACTCCGAGATAATTCTGAAGTAGTTTCAGAAGGATCATGTGGTACAATAAAGTGCAAACTTATTGCAGCTGAGAAAGGACGTTGGTTTTACCTGATAAGCCTCTTCTCATAAGATGGAGATAGCAACCAGGCATGAGTTGACCTCGTCAGCTCACTGATTGGACTGAGTCTGTCAGAGCTGTTAGGACACTCCCTTGTTGCTAGGGCCCTTCAGTTTTTGGCGAAGGTGAAGTGACAGACTCGATGCGTCTTGTGGTAGTCTTGTTCGTTTGGAGTGAGAACCAACATTCTTTAGGGTTGCGCTGGATGCTATCTCCACCTTAGGAGAAGAGGCGTATCAGGTAAGACCAACACCCTTTCTCCATTGAGGTGGAGATAGCATCCAGGCATGGGACATACCAAAGCTGGCTTGTCCTTACGGGTGGGCTGCCGCCCGGTCCAAGGTTTCCCATCCTGTGTGAACAACCTGTAGTACCCATTGGCAAAACACTGCCTCAGCCAAGGCAAAGCTGTCCAGTCTATAGTTCTTTATGAATGGGGAAGGAGAGGACCACATGGCCGCTTGGCAGACCTCTTCTAATGATGCCTGTGTCGCCCACTCTGCGATAGTCCATGGAGGGCCTCCTAGAGGCCTGGATGGTCTTAATGACCCTGGAGGAATTATTGTCCTCCCTCAGAACTCCACTCACGTGCCAGGTGGTCAGCTGGAGCCACTGTGATTCCGGATCAACCAGCAACCCCTGGCCGAGTGAGATCCTGTCCTGAGGGATCCTCCTGGGCCAGTCCACCGATAGGTTCAGTAGATTGGCAAACCATGGCCGTCTGGGCCAGTGAGGGGTGAGAAGTATGACCTCCTCCCTCTCAGCTAGAACCTTCGGAATGACCCTTGGGATAAGGGGAAGAGGAGGGAAGACATAAAGCAGTCCAGGAGTCCAGGGACACCAGAGAGCATTGACCCCCTCCGCTCCTGGTGCTGGGAACCTGTCATAAAACCTCTAAAGGTGCATATTGTCTGGGGTAACGAAGAGGTCCACTACTGGGAGGCCGAAATGGTCCGTGCGCTGTCTCTCGACCTGCCTTGTTAGGTCCCTGAGGTTGATCTGGCACTCCTGGGACAGGTAAACGCTGCATGCCACTGTATCAATAAGTGCTCCCAAGTGGAGCAGCCGGTTAGTTGGTTCAAGGTGACTCTTGTCTATATTAATAGAGAAACTGTGGGACTGCAGTGTCTGGGCCGTAACTTTCAGGTCCTCCCTGGCTTGGATGACTGAGGACTGGATCAATATATCATCTAGGTAGTATTGGATCCACATGGGCATAGCTTGTAGATGGGGCTACCAATGCTGCCAGGACCTTTGTGAACGACCTAGGCACCTAAGAGAGGCTGAATGGTAAGGCGATATACTGATACTGATAGCTTGCATAATGAAATTGGAGGTATTGCTGATGGAGGCAAAATGGGAATATGCAGATAGACCGCCGTTAAATCTATGGATGTGAGGAAGTTGCCCTCCTGTACGCCCCCCCAAATGGTCTTCAATGAGTACATTTTAAAACACCTGTAGAGCAGATGGTGGTTCAGGCGTTTGAGGTCTAGAATAGTTCCCCCGCCCCGAAGCTTCGGGGATCCCAAATAGAATTGAGTAGAACCCCTGCCCTAGTTAGTCTTCTGATACCTGCTGTATGGCTCGAATTTCCAGCAGGCGTTGAATTGCAGACTGCATGAGGGCCCTATTTGCCGGGTTGTTGGAGACTGGGCAACGAATGAAAAACCTTGGGGGTGTGGAGATAAATTCCAGGGATAGCCCAGACATCACCGTATCTCTGGACCATGCGTCAGAGGTCATTTCCTCCCATCGGTCTGCAAAAAGAGCCAAGCAGCCTCCAATGGGAGGAAAGAAGACCTTGGCATTAGTGGCCCCAGAAGAACCGACCCCCTCCGCTGCGAAGGACCACTTAGACTGTCTACTTCTAGATAGTTGGTCTGCCTGTTGTCGTTGTCTAGGGATGTAACCCCCCTGTAGCCTGAAATTTGCAAGTCCGTAGTCTGGGGCCCAAAAGGCAGGATGTGTCGAGTAAGGCGAGGGACGGAAAAAGCCCCTTCTGGTGGCCGATGGCAAGATCTTTCTCTTCTCCCTGGTCTCCACAAGAATGGGATCTAGAGATTCTCCAAACAAGGACCCCCCTTTGAAGGGTGCTGATGCCAGGCACCACTTGTGTCGAACATCTGCCTGCCACTGGCGCAGCCAGAATAAATGTTGGGTCGCAACCGATGGGACCATAGGCTTGGATGCAAATCTGGCAGTGTTGAATGTGGCATCAGCCAAAAACTGGATTGCTGCCACCAGTTTGTTGACATCTTGGTGCACCCTGGAATTGGTCACCAGAATCCTCTCCTGCAGCAGACGCTGGCAAAGCAATGAGGTCCAATTGAAGAAGGAGACAGTTGTGGATACCCGGACAGCCCAAGCCATTGCTTGATTGCTTCTCTGCAAAGTTAAATTTACCCATCTGTCCTCTAGTTTTCAAGGCTTCTTCAGGTACCTCCGTCATGTTGGAGGAGGTGTAGAGTGCTGCGACCAGAGGGTCCACGGTAGGCAATTGAAGTGACTGGGCCAGCTCAGGAGCCACATTGTAAAAACGTCTATCAGCAGAGATTGGCATAGGACCCGAAGTAGGAGAGGCCCACTGCCTTTGAATGACATCCACAAAAACCTAGGTGATGGGATAGTTTCTGCTTCTGTGGTGTGCTCTGAAAAGAGTGGATCAGCTGAAG